GTATTCGAGAGTAGAAACTTGTGGGCAAAGTACACCAACGGTCTAAATCTTTTTTAATTTCCTCTTCTATTTTCCCATAGTTCGTTACAAACATCGTTAAGAGTGACTTTGTCAATATTATACCTAAATATTTTAAAGTGTTTGAATTCCATTTTAATTTATATTGATCTCTAATATCTTGGGAAGGCACGTAGTTAAATGCTAGAATTTGTGTCTTGGTTATATTTATTTTGTAGCCTGACAGGTGTTCATATGATTGGAATAAATGCATTAAACTAGGAAGACCACATTCGGGATTCCGAAGGAAAATTATGACATCATCAGCAAAAAGGCCAATAATGTGTCGCTGTCCTGAAAGTGTGACACCCCTCCAGATCTGGACTTTGCCTCACTGCTTGTGCTAGGGGCTCCACGTACAGTGAAAACAGAATTGGCGAGAGAACGCAGCCCTGTCTGGTTCCCCTTTGTAATGTTATTCTATCTGTTAGGCTCCCGTTCACTTTTATTCTAGCTGTAGGGTTGTGGTAGAGCGCCTTAATACACTGGATGGCCTTGTCATTGAAACCAAACTTGGTTAATACTTCATACAGATATAGCCAACTAACACTGTCAAATGCTTTTTCCTGGTCCAGACTAATTATCAGTGTGCCAAGGTTGGATTTTTGAGAATTATCAATAATGTGTAGGGCTCTTCTTATATTATCTTGCGTCTGGCGCCCCTTTATGAAGCCAGTTTGGTCTACTTCTATCAAGTCTGGTGCAAATGTTTCCAATCTTTTGCTTATAATTGAGGCATAGATTTTATAGTCAACATTAAGAAGGGAAATAGGTCTATAATTTTTGCAATGCTCCTTATCCTTCCCTTCTTTAGGTAAGATTGTGATGATGGCTTCTCCCCAAGATGGTGGGGCTATGCCCTCTTTAAGAGTCCAATTAAAACATGCTAAAAGGAGAGGCTTTAATTCTTCTCTAAACACCTTATAAAATTCAGACTGAAAACCATCGCTACCTGGTGACTTACAATTTTTTTGCTTGCTAATAGCAACCTCTAGTTCTTTGTCTGTGATCTGTGATGTAATTGTATTATTTTGGTTTTCTCCTATTGAAGGCAGATCCAGCGACTCAAGAAAGGTCCTGATTGTTTCACTATCAGCAGCTGGTGGTTGAGAATACAACCCTACATAATATTTCTTGAACTCATTTTCTATCTCGTATGGTGTATTGTGTAATCTATTGTTATTAATATTTCTTATTTTGTTAATAGCCATTGATGCTTGTTGTTTACGCAGACGTCTTGCTAACATTTTAGCTGCTTTTGGGCCAGATTCATAATAGGTTTGTTTGGTAAATCTTGCTTTCCTTTCTACTTCTACTCCAAGAATTTCATCTATTTCTTTCCTAATATTTATTATTTTTTGTAAAATGCTTTGATTGCCAGTTAGTTTATGTTCTTCCTCCAAGGTTTTAAGTATTTTGGTCTTGTTCTTATAGGTAGCAAGCCTATCTCGTTTTTGTGCAGCTGTGAGAGCAATTAGTTTCCCTCGTAATACTGCCTTCAGAGCATCCCAAAGAATCACTGGGTTCACGTCCCCTGTATCATTGTGTTCTATGTACTCCAGAATTTCCTCCTTAATCTTTTTAACATACTCCTCCCGGTTCAAAATACCCACATTAAGCCTCCATGCTGTATTTATTTTCCTGTTATTTAGATTAATTTCCAAACTAATCATACTATGATCCGAAACATCTGTCACACCAATCTTGCAGTCTGTGACATTGTGAGCTTCCTCTGCATTAATTATGAAGTAGTCAATTCTTGAGTAAACTGCATGAGCAGCAGAATAATGTGTATAGTCTCTAACATGCGGATTAAGTGTCCTCCAAATGTCAATCATTCCCAATTCCTGTATTATTGTATTCATTACATTTGTCATACGATGTTTAGATTTTTTAATGCTAGTTGTATCAATACTGCGGTTCAACACGACATTGAAGTCCCCTCCACACAACACCAAACCTTCAGACTCCCGTGCAACTATGTTGAATACCATTTTAAGAAAACTTGAATTACTTTCTGGTGGAGCATAGATATTAACCAATGTGATGAGTTTGTTCTCCAATTTACCTTTAATCAGCACATACCTACCCTCTTTATCCGCTACCTCTTTATACATTTCAAACTGAACTGTGTTTGCAATCAAAATGGCTACTCCTCTTTTTTGACTTTGTTTATATGAGCTATAATACATGTTTTTGTAGCCAAATCTCTTTAGTTTTTCATGCTCGTGTGAAGGCAAGTGAGTCTCCTGCATGAAAATAATTTGAGCATTTTCTTTTCTTAGTTTAGCCAAAACTTTACTTCGTTTGATTGGATTATTTAAACCATTTACATTCAAAGAAACCAGTTTTATATTGTTAAAAGGCATAATATCTGCACAGTGGAAATTTTAAACTTACCAGACAACTAAAAGTAACAGTGACCTGAACATTTGGCCAAAAACAGTCTGTCAAATAAAAATAAAAGGAAAAATTGGACTCCCAAATTGGGGTGAATCCTTTACACCCCATGTCCCCGTTGGAAGGCTGAGGGGAAAATCTCTTCACAGAGGGCCCCTCACAGGATGTGAGACGTGTCTCACGCATCCAGAGTCCAACGTAACGTTACCTTCACCCCACAGCAAGTGATTTAGAATAGATTGAAGTCTGTTAAATAGATTCACGGTTATCTTAACAAGAACACCATTGAGCAGGAAGACAATCTCCTCTCTCACCGTGAAAGGAGCGTCCTTATCGCAGCCCTCTCAACTTGTTATATGCCGGTTCTCTGCCACTCCGTAGCTTGAGACAAACGCTCCAGTTCAGGACTCAGCTCCGCTGGGTTACGCTCCGGTACCGGCACCACGTATCCTCTTCTTCTCATCTAGATTGCCGCTTCCCGCGCGCTGCCGTAGGTACGTGCTCCCGTGTCCCAGTGTATTCGTATTTTATCCAGCGGCGTTTGGAAACGAACGCTTTTCTCTTTCAAAGCCCGCTTAATGTTTCCATATTCTCTGCGCTTCTGCACCACGTCTGTCGCGTAATCGTGGTCGAATGATATGCGCTGCCCATCATGCATTATTCTTTGTTGCCAGGCCCTTTTCAAGATATCTTCTTTGAGCGTGTATTCCTGAAAGTTTATGATTATTGACCTGGGTGGCGCATCTCCTTCTGGCTTTCGGGTCAGTGCTCTGTGGGCTCGCTGCATTCGCAGATTCATGTCCTGTGGCAGTGAAAGTGTTTTCTTCAGCAATCCGTCCATGAACTGTAGCATCGAATCACTTTCTGATCCTTCTTTGACACCATATATCCGAATGTTATTTCTTCTTGACCTCCCTTCAATGTCCGTCAGCTTACTTTGCACAATCATTTGGTTTTTCATCACTTTCGTCAATGCATCCTTCATGGCTGCGTTCAATTTCTCCGCCTCCGCGATACGTGCCTCCGCTTCAGCTAGCTTGATCTCGAGAGCGTTAGCCTTCTCAGTATTTTCAGATATACTTTGATAAACTTCACCTTTCAGCAACGCCAGCTCAGCTTTCATGTCGTTTCTCAGCTCCTCTTTCATCTTCCGAAAGTCATTCTTGTTTTCAACGCGGAACTCTTGCAGATCCGTCTTTATAGCTCTTAGCATCGAGCTAACATTTTCTGCTCCATCACCTTGTTTCGTTTCTGCCATTTTCTGCCCGTTTTGTTGCGGTTCTCGTTTTCTACGACTTCTAGTCTTCACACCCCCACGCATTCCAGTCTAAATTCGAGTAACAAGGCACGGTGGTCTTGAATTGGGGGGGATTTTACCAACTTTGCTGTCGGGAGCGCTTAACTAGTCATCCATCGTGGTCGCTCGCTACCCGGAAGTCCTCAGTAAACACAGTTTCTTAATTTAACAATGTAGGAATTATATAGTTTTATATGATAACATTTAGTACACCCAAAATGTATTTTTATCAGTGCTACCCCCATGCTTCACATTAGATATGGTGTTCATTTGGATGCAACTTTCCTCCAAGCATCATGAGTTGAGTTTTTACCAAAAAGATCTATTTTGGTTTCATCTGACCACATAACATTCTCCCAATCCTTTTCTGGATCAAATGCTCTAGACACGCACTGGCTTAAGCAGGGGGACGCGTCGGACACAGCAGGATTTGACTCCCTGGCGTCGTAGTGTGTTACTGATGGTAACCCTTGTTACTTTGGTCCCAGCTCTCTGCAGGTCATCCACTAGGTCCCTCCATGTGGTTTTTTTTGCTCACCGTTCTTGACCATTTTGACCTCACGGGGTGAGATCTTGCGTGGAGCCCCAGATTGAGGAAGATTATCAGTGGTCTTGTATGTCTTCCATTTTCTAATAATTGCTCCCACAGTGGATTTTTTCACACCAAGCTGCTACCTATTGCAGACTCAGATTTCCCAGCCTGGTTTGATTCTGGTGTCCTTTGACAGCTCTTTGGTCATTGGTCTTAGTGGAGTTTGGAGTGTGACTGTTTGAGGTTGTGGACAGGTGTCTTTCATACTGATGAGTTCAAACAAATGCCCATAATGCAGGTAACAAGTGGAGGACATGGAGCCTTCTAAAGAAGTTACAGGTCTGTGAAAGACAGAAATCTTTTTTTGTTTGTTGTTGATGAAATACTTATTTTCCACCATCATTTGCATATAAATTCTTTTTAAAAAATGATTTCCTGGATTTTTTTTCTCATTATGTCTCTCCTAGTTGAGTCATACCATGATGAAAATGACAGGCCTCCCTCTTATTTTTAAGTTGGAGAACAATTGGTGGCTGACTAAATATACTGTAGTATTTCCCGACTGTAGTGCCTTTCACAGACCAGAGTCACAAACGGACCCATTAAGATTCATCTCTTACAGGCTGTGCATTCATCATTCATTCTTTTATTAATCGTTTCTAAATCCTACAGAAATCGACAGTACAAACTATCTCCTCTGTTGTGTCTTTGCAGGTGAACAAGAACAACGCCAAACTGTGGAACAATGTTGGCCACGCGCTGGAAAACCAAAACGACTACAACATGGCGTTGCGCTACTTCCTCCAGGCCACCAGAGTGCAGCCCGGTGAGAAAACCCAGAAATGCATTGAGGGGAAAAAGATGGATGGATGGGCGTCTCTGCCTCCATCTACACACATGCATGCATCGGCGGTCTGAATACAGCTGAACAAGAATGCGCCCAACGCACGAGAGCTCCGCAACGTTTGACGTATTAATCGCACGATACAACAGCAATAATGAAATTATTTGCAAACACTTTAAAATAATCGATCGTTGTTGCAGCCCTATAATGTACAATAAAAAGTTGAAATGTTGTTCTAAAGGCCAATGGCCTGTTCATCAACTCAAATACTATACGCTTGTCATTGCACAAACAAGTGATGGCTTAAATCAGGATAATATTTAGCAGAACATTGTAGAGTCTTTGAAAGGCCCCTGCTCCCGGTCAGACCGTTTTACTGAGACATGGTAATCTGGTTAAATCCTGTCTGCTGCTCATTATAATCTTAATTTTCTTTTGATTTCGGAGCAGTACCAGGTCAAGCTGCCCCAATCTGTCAAGAGCCTGTGTGGTGGAAGCTAAGCAGACTCTTGTAGACTTTTGATGATGCGCACATGGGACCTAAGCAAGTCAAAAGTAGGGTCCAAAGTGGGACCTCAGCAGGACCTCAGCAGGACCACTGTTATTTCTGTGCGGGGGAAGCTAAGCAGACTTGCATTGACTTTTGAAGATGCGCCTGTGGGAGGAGAACAGGGCTGGGTCTTGTTTTTCGGCTCTCATTGATTCCATCCTTCCTCATCTCTCTATAATCAACTACATGCCGTAATCACACTCATTACAAAGCAACAATAAAGGCCATTGCAAAACAAGACCAAGAGTTTAAGTTACGATGGTATGGCACGATGACCGCAGAAGAAATACAAACATAATCACTTCTTCAAGGCAAAGGAAGGTTTCTCACCCATCATCTGTACTTCTTAGCAAGTTTTCCCGACGTTTCGTCCTCAACCTAGCGGACTTCTTCAGGGAATGAATTCTCGGACCGCGCGTTGGAGATTTATAACCTATGGGTGTGGTTAGCCACACCCTAATCCTGATACTAACTCATAAACAATCTACGGTCTGCTTGATGTAGAAGGAAGCAGATCTAACGACCCTGCTGAGGCTAACGACCCTAACTCCTTAGCATGTCACAGACCTATTGTCTGCTGGGATGCTCAAGTGGAGTGCAGGTCTCACCCCTCCTAACTCATTAGCATGTCACTGACCTTGTCCCAAGTTAGGGCGTTGTTTTTAGGATGTCGTCATAGATGCGAGGCAAAACAAATCTTAACCCTCCTCCTCTGTTAAGAGAAGGTTTTTGTTTCCTCACAAAAATGGCGACTTTACCAACATCGACTTTACCAACATCGACTTTACCAACATCGTAGAGAAAACTCTAGTGGGCCACAGTCGGCTGTTCATCTCCACCTCAAGGCCTCCAACCACACGGTGGATGACACAGAGGTTAAACTTCTGGCTCGGGAGAAGAATTGGTTTGAGAGAGGAGTGAAAGAAGCCATTTTTGTGAGGAAACAAAAACCTTCTCTTAACAGAGGAGGAGGGTTAAGATTTGTTTTGCCTCGCATCTATGACGTGTTGTGGGAGTTTCTATCCAAAGTAAGGAAGAAGCTCAAAAGGTATTTGTCTTAATCAGGAGCGTAAGTTTATTGTAACACACGTGCGGAGAGCTCACATACACCAAGCAGCGTACATCAGCTCTGGCGGGGCCAGACACAGGTCCCCGTTTACATAGACAACACATGAAAGACAGTCACGCCCACAAAAGATGGGAGGGGTCACAGTTTGAGACGGGCATCCAGATGGCGAGGCGCCTTGCCTGGTGAGAGATGCAACAGAAGGGACAATAGACATGCAGAATGTAAAAGGGACAATAGAGATGCAGACATACGGACCGATAGAGATGCAAAATGCAAAAGAGGCAAAGGTGAGATAGTAATTTGCGTCATGTCTGTCGGTGCGGGGGGGAGACCGGTTCCTTCCTGCAGGTTAATTGAATAGAACAGCGGGGGGGTGAGTTGGCGTCCTTGAGGCTAATCCAACTTGCCATAACAGACGACATCCTAAAAACAACGCCCTAACTTGGGACAAGGTCAGTGACATGCTAATGAGTTAGGAGGGGTGAGACCTGCACTCCACTTGAGCATCCCAGCAGACAATAGGTCTGTGACATGCTAAGGAGTTAGGGTCGTTAGCCTCAGCAGGGTCGTTAGATCTGCTCCCTTCTACATCAAGCAGACCGTAGATTGTTTATGAGTTAGTATCAGGATTAGGGTGTGGCTAACCACACCCATAGGTTATAAATCTCCAACGCGCGGTCCGAGAATTCATTCCCTGAAGAAGTCCGCTAGGTTGAGGACGAAACGTCGGGAAAACTTGCTAAGAAGTACAGATGATGGGTGAGAAACCTTCCTTTGCTTTGACTAATCCCTGTACGACTGAGAGCTTACACAAACACTTCTTCAAACTTCTCCACTAACCTATCCCTGACCTCTTTGCTGTGCTCCGTGGACTTTTTGATGCTTTTCAGAGAGCACTTCACTCTGACCACAGCTCTGAGGCCCATAATTATAGAACTGCTTTAATTATACTGAAAGTAGATCAGGTCATCATACCAAGGCAAGGCAAGTTTATTTATATAGCACAATTCATACATAAGGCAATTCAAAGTGCTGAACAAAACAAGAAAGCATTAAAATCATAAATTATCACAGAACATTAAAAAGAAAGATAAAAATATAAAATCCCTCAGTTGTATGCACAGTTAAACAGAACTGTCTTTAACCTGGTTTTAAACATTGTCAGAGAGGAGGCCTGTCTCACATCTTCAGGAAGACTGTTCCAGATTTTAGCAGCATGAATCTGAAAAGCAGCCTCCCCATGTTTAGTTCTGACTCTGGGCACTAACAGGAGTCCAGTCCCTGTGCTCCTCAGAGTCCGGGCTGGTTCATATGGGACTAACATGTCACTAATATATTTTGGTGCGAGGCCACGGAGAGACTTGTAACAAGCAGAGCTGTTTTAAAGTCTATGCTCTGAGCCACAGGAAGCCAGTGCAGGGACCTGAGGACTGGACTAATGTGGTCGTACTTCCTGGTTCTAGTCAGGACTCGAGCTGCTGCATTTTGAATGTACTGCAGCTGTTTTACAGCCTGTTTGGACAGACCTGTGAGCAGGCCATTGCAGTAGTCTAACCTACTGGAGACAAATGCATGGATAAGAATCTCCAGGTCTGCTTTAGACACTATGTTTTTGATCCTGGCAATGTTTTTTAGATGGTAAAAAGCTGCTCATGTTACTGATTTGATGTGGCTATTAAAATTTAAGTCTGAGTCCAGTATTACCCCTAGATTTCTGACCTTGTTTGAAGGTTTTAGGGAGAGAGACTGGAGGTGACAGATGACGCTCTCTCTTTGTTTCTGGGGACCAAAGACAATCATTTCAGTTTTGTCTGCGTTTAGCTGAAGGAAGTTGTTTTGCATCCACTCACTGATCTGTTGGATACAGTGAAGGAGTGAGTCCACTGGTCCATGTTCTCCTGCAGTCAGTGAGACATAGATCTGAGTGTCGTCTGCATAGTTATGATAGGAAACTTCGTTTCTGCGTATTAACTGACCTAACGGCAGCATGTAGAGATTGAACAGAAGAGGTCCCAGGATTGACCCCTGTGGTACTCCTCAGGGCTATATGATCTGAGACATAGTTTCCAATCTCCACAAAGTACTTCCTGTCCTCAAGGTAAGACCTAAACCAACTTAGGGCGGTGCCAGCGACTCCAACCCAGTCCTCTAGTCTCTGTAAGAGGATCTCATGGTCGACAGTGTCAAAGGCAGCACTTAGATCTAACAAGATTAAGATTGAGACTTTGCCTGCGTCAGTGTTCAGCCGGATATCGTTTGTAACCTTAACGAGAGCAGTCTCAGTGCTGTGGTGGGGTCTAAAGCCGGACTGAAACATATCAAATGAGTTATTGATTATAAGAAATCTAGTAAGCTGTAGGTAGACAACTTTCTCAAGGACTTTACCCATAAATGGCAGATTTGAGATGGGATGATAGTTGTTAAGTACCGTAGCATCGAGACTGCTCTTTTTTAGCAGGGGCCTGATGACTGCAGTTTTCAGGGCCTTTGGGAATATTCCAGAATGAAGGGACATGTTTACTATCTGTGTGAGTGAAGGTAACAGACTGCTCAGAACGGACTTCAGAAATCTAGTGGGCAGTACATCCAGGCTGCATGTGGAGGAGCTCAAACTGGAGATTATCTCTTGGACAGTTTTATCATTTACAGGTGCAAGGTGAGTTAGCTCAGAGAGCCTTTCTGGCTGTTGGATGGTTATCTGTGGATTGGAGACAATGGCGTTTTTGATGCCTTGAACCTTGTATTTGAAAAAATTAGCAAACTCATTGCATTTACGTTTGGAAGTAAGCTCTAAGCTCTTTGGAAGTATACCAGTGTAATAACAGCTTTAAACAATATGCATTTCCTGATTCTCAAATCCATCCCCCTGATAGTCCTTTGTGCAGCAGTACAAGTAGGCATTGCGGCTCTCTTCTCTCTTGTGATCGTTGACGTGGACCTCAGCTCGCACAAACAGCTGTCCTATTGTCCCATAATCTATTTGCTCTGCTCCAGACTTATGACTGCGGAACACAAATAAATGCAGAGCTTTTGACGTAAAGGGACATTCCAGCCTGAGCCACTGTGGGTGTGGTGCTGGAATGTATCAGAATGGGCTAACTGAGTTTGACATTGCCATACTGTTAGTCTTAATGTGGAAGAGGCCGATTTAAACATAAACTAGCTGGAGCCAATTTCCACAAATGGGCATTTGTCCAATGGTGTTAGCTTCGCGCCAGAACAAGTTGCCAAGACAGTTTTCCCCTTGTGAATTAAGGCATCTGATTTGTCAATCCTTCATGAATTTACAAAGACAACACTATGTAAACACCAGGATCACAGATAGCAATAAACCAAGGATGTTTAATCCCAAAATGGTGAGTGTGACAATAACGGTTACTAAGCAAAAGGAGTTTACGTTTCAGTAAGTCAATAGGAGCCAGATCAAGTTGGAGCCAAAATTCTTCCATGCCCCTGTGGAAGAATTTGGGGCTTAATGGGGCTAGCAGATTAGCTTTATCCATCTATATAAGTTTATGGAGGATAGGTTGTATCATGGAATAGGGAAAATGAGCAACGATCCGCTTGTGGTAGAAGTAGGGAATTAAAAATGAAGGCATGTTGTAAATAAAGTAACTTGAGACTAAACTTGTCATTGTGTTATGAACTAACAACTGAAAATACACATCCGCCACTAATATTTCCAGGAACAAACCAGCATGCGCCACATTTAATCCAGCGTGGTTTAAAGCTGTCTTTTATTCCATATTTATTGATGCATTCACCTGAATGCTCTGTTTGTTTCCATTGTTTATAACAAACACACGAGAATCCTTTTCATGGATTTTTCATCTGCATTCAGTACAGTAAACAATAACACTCTGCTTCAAGGTCTTTCATCACTCCACATTCATACATCACTGATTCTATGGATCAGAGAGTTTTTACAGGATAGACCACAGCATGTGCTGATAGATGGTGTCAAGTCCAGTCAAATTATTTTGAGGACTGGACTCCCCCAGGGCTGTGTGCTGTCACCTGTGCTCTTCTCTGTGTACACTAATAACATCTCCTGCAGCACAGAAGGACTGACCCTTATAAAGTATGCAGACGACATAGCTCTGGTGGCACACCTCACTGATGCACAGGCCCTAGCAGACTATCAGCAGGAGGTCCACACGCTGGTTTCTGGATTTACTCAGAACTCCCTGGAGCTCAACATCTCCAAAACCAAGGAGTTGTGCTGTTGCGCCGCTAGGAAAACAGACTCTGTGGATCTTTTTCAACCCCTGGTCATCCATGGCCAGCAGGTGGAGCAGGTGGGATGTTTTAAATACCTTGGGACTGATATAGACAGCAGCTTATCCTTTGGGCACCATGTAGACTCTGTTTTTAAAAAGTCACAGAAGCGCCTCCATCTCCTCAGGAAATTGAGATCTTAGCAAAGACATTTTATCAACTGTATATCTCACTCATTGAATCCATCCTCACATACAATATCTCCACCTGGTTCAATTTCCTCACTCTCAAACACAGGAAAAAACTCAATAGTGTAGTAAAACAGGCCAGCAAAATCACCCAAACACCACAAACTCTGCTCTGTGAGCTGTACAGCTGCTCTGTGAGCTGTACAGCCGATCAGTGCTGAGAAAGTCCACTCTCATCACTGAAGATGCCACACACCCACTGTATGGCTCCTTCTCTCTGCTGCCATCAAGAAGGAAATACAGAACCCCGCTGGCCCGAAAAAACATCTACAAGAGATCGTTTGTCCCGTCTGCAGTCACTTCCCTAAACAACTGGTAGCACTGCATAAATGATTAACTGTTTGATAAATGTATTTTAAATGTGTTTTATGACTGATTTTTAATTGTGCCGTGTTGTAAGACAAATCTCTGCTCATTTTGAACAGACAATAAAGATTTATTCTATTCTATTCTAAATTGTCGGTCCGTTCAAAGGAAAGTAACAGCCCTTGATAAAGAGTTTGCATCAGTCTGTAACCGTTGTGTTGAGCTGCGGGGAAGTAAAAACTGTGTAGCAGGGCTAAAGCGTGGTTTAAAGTGTGGCTAAAGCGGGTCTAAAGCAGGTTTAACCCTTGTATTATGTTAAGGGTCAATTTGACCCATTTCAGTTTTTGTGTTGATCAAAGTACTGGTTATCCTTTCTTTTTCTTGCTGAAATTTGGTGACTTTTCCTCATCTAGGGTCATGAACTGGTGTGTAAAATCTGGACACTTTGATGTGTAGTGGAATGTCTGTGCAGAGTTTGTATACAAAGATGATGTTGCGGGTCATTTTGACCCAGACGCTTAAATGTGGGTAAATAGTTGTTCAGATCCAAAAAAACATGTCTCTTTGACATTGTATTTTGATTGCCTCTGAAAGCCAGAGCCAGGTGTGTGAAGAGAGGGAACTTTCTCACACTTGTCATTGTTCTTATGTCATCTCTTTTGCCTAGTGTACATCGGACTGGCAACTGATTATATCCATCGCATATGAGTTGCTGCCCCGCACACATCAACAATCTTGCAAAAACGGGCAACTCCTAGTAGCAGACCAGTCTGGGGAATAACAGCGCGTACATCGACAGCAACTGGCCGTCAACTACAGTGTGTTTTCTGACATAAACTGTGGAGGTCGCGCAATACGCGCAATACACGCAATACACACATGTTGTTAGAGCGCGCCACGGAGCGCGCACATCGGGTGATATCTCCGGATCTGAGTACAACTAGTTGCCGAAAAGTAGAACACGGGCAACTGACTGAATCCGGAGATCGACTGTTTATCTCCAGTTGTAAGAGCGCTCACATCGACCGATTTCGGAAACTGATCATCTCCCTCATCTACTCTCAGTTGCCAAAAGCTGCCTTGCAACTAGTTGTCTCCAGGTACTCTGTCGATGTGCGCTAGGCTTTAGACAAACTCACCAAAAATGAGCTCCAGAAGGATGACATCTGAGGAGGCTTTATCACAGATTTTTTACTGGGATAATGATGTAGAGGAAGAGAAACAGAGGATTTTTCAGAGACAGAGGACAATGTCAATTTTCCTACGATAAGGAGGATTCAGAGTACAAATCTTTGGTCAAGGTAAGAGAAAGGAAGGAAGGAAAGAAGGAAGAAGGGAAGGGAGGAAGGAAGAGAAAAGAAGGGAATAGAGGAGGATGAACAGAGAGAAGGAAAACAGGATGAGAAAAAGGAAGGAGAAAGCATGGCATGAGGGAAGAATTGTCATTTTGACCCGAGAGGAGGACAAGAAGATTAGACTAAATATTTCTTAAATATAGTGTTGGAATTGAAAATGTATTGTATGTCACTTTTCTAAATATTTATATAACCTAAAATAAAGTTATTGGTTTAACCTGTTTTCTTGACTGTTTTGAGTGCATTTACACAGTACAGGTCAAAATGACCCGCAACATAATCAATGTCATTTTTTTTCAACCTAATACAAGGGCTAAGCAGGACAAAAACAGGTCCTGTGTTTAGTCTGTGAAAAGCTCTTTTCTGTTCATGAGTCTTGTCTTTAATAAATTCTGTGTCTGCAGATGACATCGGCGCTCACATGAACGTGGGTCGGACCTACAAGAATCTGAACCAGTCCAGAGAAGCAGAGGCCGCCTACCTGGTGGCCAAAGCACTGATGCCCCAGGTGAGACATCCAGGACGAGGATTTACAAGTGACCTAAAATCCTCTTCCACCTGAACAGGAGCCAGCTGAGGTGGTGAGAGGAGGAATATTTTCTCAACCAAGTCGAGCAACAACTCAATTCAGTTCCATTTCAACTCAATTCAATGTATTCTTGTATAGTCCTAAATCACAACCACTGTTATCTCAGAGGACTTACCAATCGTTGAATTCGTCAACACAGATCAGAGAATCAAACAGTTCAAACACAAAGTATAGAAAATACATAGGTATTGGTCCATAGGGGGAGTTGACCAATGTACATAAGTGTTGATAAATGTCCATTTATGTTGTTGAATGTCAAGTGTCCTGGACCACAATCCTTTTAGTTTCATACTTTAAGTCTAACAGACCATTTTGTATTGCCAATGACAAACTCTAAAAACCCAATGGGAAAAAGTGAGGAACCTCATACCACATTCAGAGATGGATCCACTCCCCACGGACGGACACAGGCCATAGGTCCAGAACATTATCTACAAAACAAGAACCAAAACAAAAATCGATTTGCAATATCAATCACAAGTCAAACAAAGTCAACAACTGGATTCCTGAGATCCTGAGCGTCACAATGAGGTACACAATGCCTATATTGGTGGGCCTGAAGTTTGCTGGATGACACTTGTGTTTATCATCTCAAAGACTACTTTGTGTTAACCCATTAAGGCCTAACACAGCTGGTAAAACACACCTGTAAAACCTATGGCCAACTTCAGAACCACCTCTAAAACCTGAAGTTTTCCTGAAATTTAACGTCTACTAAATGATTGATATCTCGGCCTCTGTAGCAGATAGAAACATAATTTCAAAAGAATTTGAGAGCTTTCAATAAGAATGCAGTGTATTATTATAAACCTTCAGTAGAATAATACAAAAGATATACAACTTCCACACAGGAAAGGTAATAAAACAACCAAATATGATCTGAGACTAACACATGTGTCTCAATACAATAAGTCAAAAAGAGTTTTGCAATAAAGTGGCACTAACTGTATGGGAAAATAATATTTAAAAATCCACTCTCAGCCCAAAAAGTCAAATAATGACTCACATGGCTCCTTCTTAAGCAAGCATAATAAAAAAAATATAAACACGACTGTTCTGGTTGGTTTTGTTTGATTTGTTCACATTTTATTTTTGGGCACAAAGCTGGTTTGAAAGGTAGAAATGCGTGAATGTCTTCCCGGCCTCAATGGGATAATGGCAGACCACATACATGACACGGGCATCAGTTTGGACCCACCTGGTCCGACTGTTGGTACCTCAGGGATGATGTCGTGCTCATCATCTGCTGTTTATGTGCTTCTTTCTCTAAACATTTGTTTTCTATTCCCTCACATGTGTTCTGCATTACAAGCAGAACCTTTTTACAGAATTGTTGTGATTGTGTCCATATTTTGCTGGAAATTATAAAAAAAAGGCTTCCTTTAACCCTTTAAGGATCACCTAATTTTGCCTGCTCCTTCTTGAATTATGATACCCAAATGGAAATGCTTATTGTGTGGACATCTTGTGTCTGATTTTGTGTTATGAGGCCTCATTTGAAAGGTAACACCTTCTAGTTTCTGGAAATGTATGTTACAGTTTCTTAGGAAGGACACAGTCTGCACTACACCTTATCAAACATGAGTCAAAGTTAGTTTTTTTTGTCTCGAAAAAAAAAAGGCAATTTCAAAATAATCTCCTGAAAACATACTTTATGATATGTTGTTCAAACTCACCAGAGCAGATGTCTGTGGTGTTGGCAACAACTGTATGAAATTTTAGACCTTTAGATGAAACCATTTTGATGCTGGGGGCTTTTTTGTGACTAATGGGCACATTCGGCACAAGCGGTCCATTTTTGTGCCAATTGTGCCAAAGTGTTTTACTTGCAAATTATCAACGTTATTACACCAAAAATAAAATTATATCATTTTTTGGCTATTACTCTTGCTATAAATAGGATTTTTTCCAGATATTGAAATGTTTACAGAAAAGCTATTATTTATATAGATATAGCGCGTGTTCTCCGTGAAAATGCTCCACTTTCCACTCTTACGCATTCAAATAACACTCGAACAGTGGGAGGAACCTTGAAGTCCGACACATCGCCTGAAACCTGAGATTATTGGCTACAAGATGGTTTGATTGACATCCAAATCGGCCAATGGTATTCAAGACAATGCTGTCGTGACGCACAGATATCTATATGACTGGAGCGGTAAAGTTAGGTGCGCTTGTTTTACTCAACTCACTCTACCTTCCAAACCATAGCACTGAAAAGGTCGGGAATGGGCTTGTTTTGAAGGGAAGACTGAGAGGAAGACGAACATACCCAGTGACGTTAGGTAAATAGTAACATGCCTTCTTCATACAGTGCGCAACGAACAGGTTTTGTTTTTGTTTGTGCAACTTTCGATACTCAAATGTGTAGTTACAACTGGGTATCTACTATAAGGATGACTTTGTAGAAAAAACAACTGGATATAATTATTCTATGAACCCTCACGATCAAAACGAATGCACACATGTGTGGATTAGACGTGATTTGCCCCAGAATATTAGCATGAAAACGTAAGAAAGGACGATGTATATTTTATATACATATACAGTTTGACTCCTTTTTCATACTTTTGGTTATATTTAATGTTTATTTTAACATAATACGCGTTTAGAGGTGGGAATAAGCTTTCAAAAGAGATATAGCTTGACTATATTGACACAAGTGAATTCTAATACTGATGCTGTTAAATGAAAAATATCTGAATCCTCCCTGTAGAGGGAGAGTGATCCTTATAAAAAAAAAAAGATAGTTCTGCTTAGTTACCACATAATTTGGTGGTATGCTTCATTACAGAACTGATCACTGATCACTCCGCAGAAGTATGAACCAAGGCACGTGGTCAGTCTGGCGGATCTGCTAGATCTGTCAGACTGACCACATCCAATAACAGCATCAGAGGCACGTCACTCCATCACTTCACTTCTGACAAGGGGACAAGGTCGAAGTCTACCTTAGAAAAATGTCTTTACACTCCTCATAATAAAAGAACCTACACCTGTCAAACAATTAAAATATTTAAATGGGGTTACTTGCTATTGCAAGTTAATTAATAACATAGTTAATTTGTGATTATTGACAACTAATCGCATCTTTTTCCTTGGTCTAAATGTCTCTTGACATTTAGACACGTGCACAGAGGTTTTCAAAATTATCTGTTAAAGTTTTCATGACAAAAACAATGTTTTAATGTGACAAAAAGCGATCGCAGAAACCAAGAAGTAACCATTAGCAATTATAAAATATTTTAGGACGCATTTGCAGAGGATCTGATTATGGATTTAGGTTGAGTTTACGGGTATTTATTGGTCACTCACCGCTGGTGTTCAGATTTCACTAGCCTAGCTGTTACTCACATAGCACGGCACAACCTTTGGGAACTATCTTATTTGCAGTCATTAAATAAACCTTTCAGCATTCATAAAAGTGGACCGACTTTTTGTGTTTAGTTAGTCCCAAGCTGTATAATAAGCAGTGTACACAACTGCTTTTATTCTCTCACGCCGGCTGCACCGTAAAGAATTACACTCTTTTGAAGTGGTTAGGCTCACCTTGCGGCGCTGTATTTTTGCTGCGTGACTTGGCAGTCTAAATACATGCTTGCATTAATCGTGCTGGCACAGTTAAATAACGCAGTTATTAACCCATTTAACTGACAGCACTAAATAAACAATTATGTATCCCTACAACAAAGCTGCTCCTTTTGCAGGTGATTCCTGGTAAGAAGTATGCTACCCGAGTGGCCCCGAATCACCTGAACGTCTACATCAATCTGGCCAATCTGATTCGAGCCAACGAGTCCAGGCTGGAGGAGGCAGACCAGCTTTACAGACAGGCCATCAGCATGAGACCAGACTTCAAGCAGGCCTACATCAGCAGGTAGGTCCCAGCAGGCCTACATCAGCAGGTAGGTCCCAGCAGGCCTACATCAGCAGGTGGGCCAGTGTGACAGCTCCAGAGAGAAGCCAACAGGGCTTTTTTATTTTTTTATTTTTTTTATTTAATCTTTAATTCAGACACACAAAGGGTCCATATAAAACAAAAGAGACAAAAAAAAAACACACACACAAACATTCAATATTTACAAAATTCTATAAAGACAGCTTCTCCAATGCCTCCAGAGGTGTGCCTAACACTGCTCTGTACAGTAAAAACATTCATTATTACATTTAAAGAGTGCTCAGAGCGTTTCATGAACTTATAAATACAATTTCTAATCACAGCAGTCAGAGTGGGGACATTATTAAAAACAAACTGAGCTGGCACGAGTCCAACGAGGGACTCTCAGTAAAATTCTAAGTGCATCATTATATGCAACCTGCAGCTTCTTAAACTTACTCTTACTGTATCTGCACCACAAGTGGGCAGTATAGAGCGGTGTGCAGTAGGCTTTAAACAAAGTTATTTTCACATTATCAGTACACATGTGAAATCTCCGAGCCAAAGTGTTAGCCTGTCCATACAGCTTACAGTACTGCCTCTGAATGTCATCGTCATCACTGAGGTCACTCCTGATGACGTGCCCCAGGTATTTGGCCTTCTCTACATTCTGAAGCACCCCACCAGACAAATAAAAGGCAGGAAAAGAGGTCTTCAGGTGTTCTTTGGTCCTCACCACCATAACTACTGACTTCTTAGAGTTAAACTTTATGTCATACTGTTTCCCATATTCTGTGCAGACTCTCAGCAGCTGCTGCAGACCTGCAGAGTAGGGGGACATGATGACGAGATCATCTGCATAAAGAAGGTGGTTCAAGAGTCTGTCTCCAATAGAGCAGCCGGTCTTATACTGCCTTAACTTTACAGATAACTCATCCATATAAACATTAAAAAGCATAGGTGACAGGATTCCACCCTGTCTCACTCCGTTTGACACATGAAACGGTTCTGACACTGCCGTACCCCATTTAACCTGCATGGTTTGGTGCGAGTACCAGAAATGGAGGAGACGAACTAAATATGCAGGGACCCCTCTTTGCATCAATTTATAAAATAATTTAGAATGGTTAATACGATCAAATTCTTTAGAAGCATCCAGGAAACACACAAACATAGTAGAATTCTGCCTTTGATATTTACTTAGAGCCTCTTTTAGAGAGTATATGCACATGTCAGTGCCAAGTTTGCTTTTAAAACCAAACTGTTCGTCATTTGAGGTACAATACTGCAGGAACCGCGCTGATAAAATTATTATCTTAATTATTTCTAGCACCTTAGAAAGCACACTGGCGAGTGCAATTGGCCTGTAGTTTTCTAAACTAGACAATTTTCCTGTTTTATCCTTGATCACAGGTGTAAGGAGGACAGACATCAGTGAGCTAGGCAGTGTACCATGCATTAACATGCCAGTAAAGCAAAGTGAAAGCAGGACACATAGTCTAGGGCTGGCATACTTCAGATGCTCTGCAGTTAGCTTGTCCAGGCCACAGGATTTACCCACAGACAGTTTTTTAATAGCTGCAGCTATTTGCACAACTGTGATATTCACGTGTTTATCCGTTGATTTGTCAATAATAAAATGCTTGCTTTTCACACAATTAAAAAGTTTACAATAATGTTTTCTCCAAAGCTCTGCAATATTGTCAGGCCCAGTTATCCCATCAATGGTGGAGGGCCGAAGGATTTTTGTTACACTCATATGTTGTACTTCTTTCCAAAAATCTTGAGCATCATATTTTAATAACTTTTCAGCTAAAGAGTCAGCTCTAAGAGTTTCTTCGTTCCTCTTTATAAATTTAACAGCATCTTTGAACTGCTTACCAGCTTGTTTTTTGAGCTCACACAAGCGGCCATTTTGTGGCTTACCAGCAGTAACCCAGTTGATGTAGGCTGATCGAGCTTGCTTATGGAGCTCATTCACATGCTCGTTCCATCCTGGTCTGCTATTTTGATGTGATGACCCTTTTCTAAACAATGGTTTACTGGAATTAATCAGTCCAACAACTATTTCATTATACATATCACAGAGAGCATTGTTATGAGTTTGTTTATCACAATTCATATTGCTACAGCTTAAGGCCTCAAAGGGAAAATGGACCTTAAGAAGGGACATTTCCGTCAGCATGTGATAGTAGTGTAACTCACTTTCTGAGCATTTAGCCCAGTCAACTCTCCCACTGTAAATGTGGTTCTCCTTTTTGGTGAGCTCAGGAAGGCTTTCAGTGTTCAAGGTAAAAGACACTGGCATATGGTCTGCTGTAGCCATGCCATATAAAATCTCAGTACTTCAGACGCTCATGGATGCATTTACAAGGCTAAGACAGTGATCTAGCCACGATGTAGTACTCCAGGCCTCACTCACATATGTGTGGCTATTAGCAGGCAAAAGGACCTCACTAGACAAGATGATCTTATTATTTAGACAGAATTGGGTTAAATATTGACCAAACGAGGATGTGACATCAGATATATCTGCATTAAAATCACCCATGACAAAAATACTTGTACATTCACAATCTTCTATAAACGAACCTATAAAAGCCAGTCTTTGAAAGAAATCTGCTTCATTTTCAGAACATTCGTATGGCATGTAAACATTCACAATTACAAATTCATTGGTATCAATAGCAACTTTGACTCCAATACACCAGTCAACATCCAGTCTGATCACACTGATAACAGGGTCATATTTCTTATGCCACAATATTGCCACTCCACCAGATATTCTGCCACGCACCATGCCAATACTGAGATCAGTTGTGGATTCTCCTGCTCCGTGAAAGTCATTATTAATGGAATTAAGTTTTCCCAGCTCCTGTTTGGGCAAGAATGTTTCTTGTAAACACAGGATGACTGAGTTCTCAAATAAGTGGTCAACAACGAACTGTCGTGCTTTATCTGCAGCAGTTTGTCCTACACGCAGGCCTCGGGAGTTGTATGACACGATCTTCATTATTATATTCCAATATCACAGGTTAGCCGGGCCGGCATCTAGCTGGGCAACTACTGGAATCACAGCGGGCTTACTTTTACGCACTTCATAAAAGCGGCGCACGAACGCTCCTTCAGGCCAAAGACACGGGTCGTACATGTCTTTAACATCATCACACTCAGCAGTGACCTTAAATGAACTGAATCGGCTTTGTACTGTGTCTATCTTCACACATGCTACATCACGCCCGAGTTTCTCTTGCAAATGGAGTGACAGCGTTTCCGCGTCCAGCTCAGGTATAAACTTTGTGGCAAAGACACTCACCAATTTAGTCCTCACAGTCCGAATGCTGTTCCCAGAACCGGTTCCGACGATACTGCTTCTCTTGTCTCGCTGGTTTTGCTTATTCACCCGGTGCTTAGGCTTCTCCAGGGTGGTAGCAAGAGCAGCCTGCAGCCGCGGTCCTCCGCGTCTGGCCACCGTGCTCCAGCTTGGAGCAGCATCCACTGTGACGCGATCCACCAGAGTCTCATCGCGTACGAATTCTTCTCCACTCCCGTCTGTCGTTTGGGGCACCGGTGCGGCCCGCACACTCTCTGGGTCCTCCGCGCCTTGCGTTGGCGGTGGCACACCTACCTCCACAGGGCCCTGTTGCTCCACCACACACAGGCGGGTGTGCAGGTCCTGAGACGCCGCGCAAAGCTCGGTGGAAACTTCCACTTGCGCATTCATTCCTTGCTTCAGGGCGGCTATGTCCACAGTGAGCCTTTCAATTTTAAAGGTGATAGGCGGCAGTTCATCAAGATGGTATGAGACAAAACGAGCAATATTGTCACCAAGTTCATTAAGCAATGCAAGACAGCTTTTGACATTATTTATGTCTTTTTGCTCCCCTCTGTGCTGTACATAGCGCTGTGAGGAGCCCGGGCAGAGTTCAAACAGGACCTTTCTGGAACTCATAATCCACTCTGTTGAAAAGTGACTTGTGGCCAATAACACGAGTTCATCCTGAGACATTGTCTTCATTTTAATGACTAGAAAGCTTAAAAGTTCATCCTCAACAATGATTCTACCATCATTGGCAGTGTAAATCTCAGGTTTTTGTCTCACCCGAGAGAGGATAGACTCTCCTGTCTGTCTACCAGCTGCCATCTTCCATCCTTTTATTTTCATTAGAGGCGACAGTGGCTCAGTAGTTAGAGCATTGGCCTTTGAGTCTTAAGGTCGGGGTTCGAGCCCACTCCATGACTTTCTCCACCGACTCCAACTGATGTCTGCTGTTGTGTCCTTGGGCATGACACCTAACCTCTGGGAACACCAGGTGTTACAGTGGGGCGACTGTAAAGTGCCAAACTGCCATTGTGCCCTTAGGCAAGACATTTGAGTGCATCTATATATAAAACAGATTTATAATTTACTCTATTCTACTCTCTGCACCGAGCGCTCTGATCAATCAGCTGCTGATGATCAGAGCGGGGATAGAGCAGAGCCAGCGCGGGAAGAAAACAACCAGAGTTTGTGGCACTAAAGTGGGGATTTAATTAGCGCAAAGGTTTTAAGAACAAAAAAAGTTCAGGATGATAAGGGACATTAAAAAACCCACAAAATCCTGTAGGTTCTCTGTCAGCTGAGTTCCAGCTGTTTTAGTTTAAATTGAGTTATATCGGTAAAATCTGGGTGTCCCACATGAAGTTAGTCTTGTTTAGTCTTCAGTACCGCAGGAATCCCCCAAGCACATGGGTCCTTCAGCTCCAAGCTAGTAATACCGTATCCAGATATTATAATACAACCATGGATTGGACAGAGTGCTGCCAGTGTGCAGCTGGAAGCATATTTCTTAAGTCACTAATGTATCTGCTCACCAGTAAACCTGTCAGTAAACTAATGTATCTGCTCACCACTAAACCTCCGTCCCACGCTCTCTTGTCCGCAGAGGCGAGTTGCTGCTGAAGATGAACAAGCTGACCGAGGCGCGGGAGGCTTACCTGCGTGCTCTAGACCTGGACCGCACCAACGCCGACCTGTGGTACAACCTGGCCATCGTCCACATCGAGATGAAGCAACCGCAGGAGGCCCTGGACAACTTCAATCAGGCTCTGGAGATTAGCCCCAAGCACAAGCTGGCCCTGTTTAACTCTGCTCTGCTCATGCAGGAGTCTGGTGAGTCCACTTGTAGTTGTTTTATTGCAGAGGAGGAAGGGGGTAGAAGTGAAAGGGCCGAATTATCTAGTTATGGAGAATGAGAGCAATGGTGGTGTTCCCAAAAAGAGACAAAACTTCTATTAAAATTACAGTATTTATTACATAAGAATACAAGAATGAAAGTTGTAAAAGTTCTCTAAAAAGTCCTTTGATAAAACCCAGAAACCTCAGGTGTGGAGGCTCCATGGGGATTTGCCCCAATGGCTGAGACTGAAAAGGGCCAGAGGCAGTTCGACGGCGCTAGTCCCCAGTGTGTAAAACGCACACCGCTCTGGACCACGGGCTGGGACTTCTGGGGGGAAGAGAGCACACCGGCAGAACACAGCTCACGTAAAAAAAAAAAAACAAAAAAAAAAAGATGGCACCGGAGCACGCCGCTACCGGCGTCCTGCACAATTAAATTCGCTAAAGACTGGATATTAAGGAGAGATCCTGGTTCGAAACGACCATTACTTAAGAGTGTCACTACAAGAGAAACTAAAGATGCCAAAACCAAGACGAAACGACAAGGGAAAGGCGAGCGAGAAGCCAGCGGGAGACACCACGAGCGGAGAGGAAGACTCAGACACTTCCCTTGTTGACATTCTCCTAGAGTTAAAGAGCTTCCGCGCAGAAACCTCCAAAAACTTCTCAGAAATCAAGAAGGAAATTCATGAAATCAAAGAGGATGTGAAGCAATTAAAAGCACGAGTGGGCACTGCGGAAGAGAGGATCGCAGAAAATCAAAGCCGTAACATTGAAATGACCCAAGTGCTCATTCAAGTTTTGCGCAAACAAAAGCTGCTGGAAGAAAAGTGCGATGACATTGAAAGCCGCTCCAGAAGGAAAAATCTGCGCGTCTACTTCTCCGTTCCAGAGAAGGCCGAGGGGAACAGTATGATGGATTTCATCAAGAAACTTCTCAACGAAAAGCTGGGAATAGCAGGAGCGCACATAGAAAGAGCACACCGAGCCGCATCGGGGAAGGGAGGACACACGGGATCCATACATCCCAGGTCCATCCTGGTAAGATTCCAAAGCTACGAGGAAAGGCAGCGGGTGCTCCAGGCTGCATGGTCCAAAAAGGAGATACTTCTGAATGAACGCAGGATTTACTTTGATGAGGATTTCACAGCACAGGTCTACAGGGAGCGCGCAAAGTATAGATTGGCACGTAAAGAACTGAGAGAGCGTAATATTAAAACGCGCATCCTGTATCCCGCAAAATTGAAAGTTTTCGCAGCGGACGGGAAGATTCAAGTGTTTGAGAGTCCTGAAGCAGCAGCTAAAGGACTGCGCGAGTTCGGCATTGCTATGGAATGTCCCACCAAAGAGCTGGATTTGGAGTCTATTCTTCAAGCGGCTGGCTGGCAGTCGCCTCGTAGCAAAAGCAGAACCGGGCACGAAGACAACCTGATGCCCAGCCTGAAGAAACTGCTTCAACCAACTTCAGCATCATAAAGCACAACCTGATCAAGGTATGTCTGTTTGGAAAAATGACAAGGGGGCATGGACACCCGTAGACAGACTCTGAGCGAAGATGACTGAAGAAGATAAAAACTACTACGATCAGGAACTGAATGTGGACTCTCAATTGTACAGTCAGATAAATAACAAATGTAAATATTACACCAGCAATGAGCTGGAAGGCAACATTGTTTCGGATGAAGATTTATCTGTGATTCATTTCAACTGCAGAAGCCTAAGAGCGAACTTCAATATGATTTGTGATTATATAAAAACATTAAATGAACACTTTAAATTATTGCCCTCTCAGAAACTTGGTTACAAAGCAAGAATGTTGCTGAATTTGATTTGGAGGGATACGAATTACACCACGTCAACAGGGTAAATAAACGAGGAGGGGGCGTGGCCCTGTACGTTAGTCTTGATTTGAAATGCAGAATCGTAAACAGCATGACGACGGCAATCAATGATCTAATGGAGTGCATTACTGTAGAAATTATGATGGAAAAGAAGAAAAATATTATTGTGACTTGTGTGTACAGAGCCCCTGGTGCAAACGTGGACACTTTTGCAGAGCGCATGGAGAGCATTCTGGAAAGCTTAAAGGACAACAAAATATATATTGCATGTGGTGACTACAATATTGATTTATTAAATTCAACCAAACATAGACAAACGGAACACTTTCCAGATATGATGTATTGTAAAGGACTCTACCCACTAGTCACAAAGCCTACTCGAATAACCATTAATTCTGAAACACTTATTGACAACATATTTACAAACATAATCGAAACGACAGTTAATAGTGGCATCTTGATTAGTGACATAACAGACCACTTACCGATCTTTATGACATACAAAGGTGGTACTGACAATAAAAAAGTTCAAAAGGAGAGACAGCACAGAATAGAAAGAATACAAAATGAAGAGACAATAAATA